TGAAGAAAAGATATTGTTCGATAAGTATGTTTGATTTCAAAGTTAACTCATCATTTATTAAATATTGGAAAAATTAAATGCTAGAAACAAATATAAAAAATTTTCAATCGCACAAACAAAACTTTTACGAAACTTTCAGAAAGTTAAAAAATCTGATAATGATCTGTTTAGTGTATATTAGATGCAATTGGATAATTCAAGGTAGTTGTACAATAAAATTGTGATGAGATTTTTATGTTAAACTCATTCAAAGTACCATTTTAGTTATAATTTTAAAATTACATGATTTTACATTAACGTATAATTCAAATGAATTCTTAACATGCTTGATCATTTTTGAAAGCTTGTTGTATTATTTGTTTCCATTCTGTATTCATATATGTGCCACAGATATTCAAAGGCAGTATGATTACGGTGTTGCATACGTGTTGCATTTCTGTATTAATAACGATCGCGTGTACGTTTCCGCAGATTATGTGTATAATCCGAAGGAGGCGAGGCTACGGAAGGCGATGCGCGAGCAGACTCGTGAGCTGTCACGGCGGTCGATCTTGCAAAGCGCGATCGCGAATGCAAACGCGCGCACGGCCGCGATTGGCGGCGCCAATTCCGTCGTTTCCGCGTCGATGGCCGGCGGCTTCCTGAATCAGCATCACCGTTTCGATTGCACGTCGATGCCCATGGGTCCAAACGTGAGCCCTCATCAAGCGGCCGAGCCCTGGTTCCAGGCCGCGCATCGCCTGAAATCCGCGCACTCGCCGCGAATCGGCAATTGGTATGGGAATGTGTGCGGCGACCCGATCGAGAGGCTACAAGCGATGGGCGTGATGCATCAGCACCAGCAACAGCAGCAGCAGCAGCAGCAGCAACGCGACCTCGAAAAGTCTATCAAGGACCAAAGGAACCATCAGGCGGCGGAATGCGCCGCGGCGGCGTTTTCCTCCAACGGCTACTCACCGGATATCGCAGCCGCGGAGAGAGAAATCCGCAGACAAGAACCCGCGGAATACGCCGACTTTGTCGACGGCCAGAAATGGCACCCTTATCAAGTAATTTACAGAGCGCATAGCTAACGCAAAACGAGACAGCGCGATTAAAAAAAAAAACGTCAATTTCAATTCGTGCATCTCGTTTCATGTAAAATTGGCAAATTCTATTGATCTCTTCAGACAAAGCTGATTTTTTTAAATTCTGTTGAACACATAAAATACGCTTTTGTGATTTACGTAGAGAAAACGTGAATGGGCATTTTTTTCTCTCATTGAATTATATTAAATGTCTGTAAAAATCACTTGATATCTCTGATTGTAGAGCAGCGCGAGTCCTCATCCACTTCCGAGAACGCCTCATCCATCACCGCAAATGGGTGGCGTTCTTCATCCAAATGTCCAGAATACAAACGCGCATGGACATAATCCGTGGGGCCAATTCTGTCACAGTATTGTACCACGTAAGTTCCACGTATATAAAGTATTTTTATTCTTTTGTAGAAGTTTTATCGCGGCTTTCAAACTGTAATTTCATTATTTAACACAAATAATCGTATTTTTATATATACAGATTTAAATCGACGCAGAATAATCTGTGTGTCGCGTGAGAAAAAAAGAAAGAAGAATTACTGTTAAATAAGACATTTTATAATTCATAAATTGGTATTCTAACGTGTGCAGACGTTTCAAGTGTGGCCCGCAACGCGATGATTCGGGGCCCGCGACATGCAGTTTTTTTACGGGATCGCACACCAACCAGACATTGCGCATTCTTGGAGGACGCATCGCCGATGAATTATGCGCCGAGCAAATTGAACGTTGACAGCATTCGCGCGGCTTATCCGCCGTCGGAGCATCAGGTATTTAATACATAATATAATAATACTGTCGCATCATTGCCCAATTCAGAAGTCTCGCGTGGCGAATGTAGACCATAAATTGTAATAATGAAGAATAGCGGGAAATCATAAAGGCGTTACGTTAATTTGACATTTGTCGTGAGAATCAATAAGGAATTATTTGTGCAGATGCCAAGGTTGCTGGGATCAACGGTGGATCCCGTCACAGACTCGACGACGATAAATCGACGTGAGGAAGACGGCGGGACCAGATGGGAGCCAAACAATGCTAGAATGTCTCTGGACGAACTCGTGCCAACCTCCACGGTAAAATATATCGCGCGAAACGCATCTCTCGTTCGAATTAACACACACACGAATACTCGTTTCATTCATCAGATTGTTACACTTCGTATCCCATATCTTAAAGACGCGTCGATTTTAGCCGCAGGAAGGCACGGTTTCTCGCGAGAAGGAGCGCGAGTCCCGGCACTCGAGCGAGCGATTCGAGTTGAAGAAGAAACCCGTCTCGAAGCAGCCGCTTCCAGGTTTCCATCAGGCCTTTGGCTCCACGGAGATCGGCAGGTTCTCCAGGTCCGAGTTCTTCGTGAATATGGTGGGCGAGAGCAGTGGCAGCGGCAGCGGTGCTACAGCGGACGACGGCGACGGCACCGATGGCGGCGATGACGGTGATGTAAGTAGGGAACATTCCATGTCGGAAACGATGGAGAACGCCGCCGGCGCCGCGACAGCGACCGCGGCCACGGCGGCCGCGACGGCCGCGACCGCAGCTACAGCCACGACCGCTGCCGCAGCGGCGGCCGCGGCGGCGACTATTGCGGCCACCACGACCGGCGCCTGCAGGATTTTCGACACCGAGGACAGCCAGGCCGCATTCGCCATCGGCGACGACGCCGTCGGCGCGTCATCGTCGATCGGCAGCGCGTACTGCGGGCAACCGGCGGCGGCGCCGCGCTGGCACAGTCCACACGTAGGTGCTATAGGTAGCGAAATTTAAACGAGATCGGCTGCGGTATCGCGTACTGTCTTTACCACATTTGTCTTTACGATATTTGTTGCTATCGAGAAATATCAAGAGACAATGTTTTGGGGAGCAAGAATTTACAGAATTTTATATTTTTAGATTAATTGGAAAATAGGAAGAGCCACGTCAAATTTCTTACTTCGCGATTACAAACGGCGATTCTTTGAGTAATCATGGTACTATGCAAGTATCATTGGTACAGAATACCGCTGCAGATCAATTTCAGTAGGACGTTGTCCTCGTCTTTTTTTAGGCTAAAGCGGTTCCCGTAGCTTTCCGGCGCGTGACAGTTTGCGATAAAGTTTGAGAGTGGCGCTATATCGAATTTCCGATAGAAGCACGTTACAACAAACAAGTTACAAGTGGTAATGTTGGTAGTTTCGATGTGTAGCGAATTTTGGTAATAAAAGAACTGTCCGTACTTTGTGTTGCATATGCCAATAGGAGACTTATCCAGAAATTGGATACCGCTGTAATTTCGATGTATCTGAATTTTTAACCACCGAAGTAATTTCTATGTTTATTCGTGACATTGAAATTCGCGAGACGATAAAACACCAAACCTTCGATACCTCTAGCGTCAGAAATAGAGCTCGAAATCGCAGTCGGTTTCAACCCTTGGATGTGTCTCCATGATGAAACCTTTGTCGGAACCTACAGCGCCGCTTGGAAAGTAAAAGCGGGACACGCGTGTCATGCGTAGCGAATGCAAGTGCATCGATTGGCGAAAGCTGTCGGGGATCGATGTTGGCGTACGAAACGTCCCGACAAACTGCGAACGTTCGTCGAGATTGTGCCTTCCAGAGGATCGGGGATGCGTCAGGGAGTTCTTTCTCGTCGAGTTCTCTCGCCTTATCGAAAATCAAAGCAGCACGACACACCGCGTCTCGTATGCCAAAAGGAAGATATAATCAAAAGAAATCATGCCGAGACGATCCGTACTCGATCGGCACCTTCCATCATTGTTGTTAGACGCCGTCGGTGTTATATACACGTCGACGAGATTATACATATAAATATAAATAAATATATATATATATTATACTCGTGTGTAATAAGGAACGAAAACGCGCGACGAAGAGAGTAAATTATTTAGTAGATTCCTTAGGTCACGGAACGTATTGCCGCGCGGAGAAACGATCAAATAAAAGTGAAGTACGCCTGCGAGCGTAGGAAACCGAGAAGCCGACAGGTAAACGCTCTTCCGCTTCTGGAAAATAATTACGAAGGGGGCATGCACGGTGGTTCGTGTTAAGAATCTGCGTTTGAACATTTCTTTCCAGTTTTTTTTCTTTTTTCGATCTCTCTAAAAATAATTAGCACTTAACATGATTAGACAAATTTTTTTCCTTCTCTGCACATACTAATTATTTAGTTAATCAGTTAATTAACTAAAAATACAATAATTGTGGCCAATTGACTTAATTGATCAATTAAGTCAATGTTTTTGTATGTTTCATTACATTTAAATGCCATCAATTTTTTGAATATGTTAATTTTGCGCACAAGTCTGTTCCCCGCCTTTTTTCCACTGTCTAATCTAATGAAGTGTGTTTGCCGGTAGATTCTTAATACGCGCTAGTATCTATAACTTGCATCTAGTCTTATATCGACCAGTTAATTCGGGATAAATTCGTGCCGGATACCCCGTACCTATGATGGGACCAAAAATTAAACGAAAAACTTTTATGTCGCGTTCACCGTCGCGCTTACGTCCTACGTATGGTCGCGTAAAAACAATTTTCCTCATTCTGTTCGCGCGATCGCTCGCGAGTGAAAGCAAAACGCCATACTTCCGCTCCGAAACGTGGAATATATTCGACAGAATATAGTGCGACTACGTGAATGAAAGTATATATTAATATATATATATATATATAATTGAAAAAAAAATATATTCCACTTCTTGCAACGGAATGAGCATAATCTCACGCCTTACAAAACATATTTAGACAGCTGTCAAGTCGAAGTGTGCGTGAATATCATAACTGAAAAAAAAAATGACATTATCTTCGTAGGACGACGAAAATTGGAGATAATTCTAGATATCGATAGTATGCGACGTCGTAAATAAACTTCCTTGACGTTGATGTATTGTGCATGTTGGATGATACAGATAAACTTTAAATGAGGAAATTGTTTAATTAATCAGAAGAACGTAAATGTACGCTGTGTGATACAATATCATAAGCAACGGTAGCTAAAGGTGATAGAACAAACCGACCTACAACAGACCTACAATGTTTTATGCAAAATAAGTACCACAAATGTCAAGTTTCTGATGCCGAGAGTAGGTATTAAAGACACAATGTCCTTTTAAAATAAACAAATATGTTGAATAGATAAATTGGCATTTGCGATAATAATTGTCCTGTGATATGAGATGGACATAAAGATCAACATTGGAAAAAATGTATAACTTTACTCTCATTCGATTGGGACGATCGCGAGCAGTATGACAAGAATAAAAGAAACGGATGTCTATGCGACAGTATGAAAAGAAAAAAAATAAAATGTGTGTTATTTTTTTTTCCCAGCTGATCCCGGAAGCCTACCTGACAACTCCCTTGCTATTTCCCTTCTCACCGAAATCCCATGATATCCTAGGAGCCAATGCTATTCATGGGTTCACAGAAGATGGACGATTGGTATCGCGCATTTTGCCTAACGAGTGTTGTTGGTTTACGCAAACTGGACACGCGATAACAAGAATTCCTGATGGCTTTGTGGTAAGAATGACATTGAATTGATTTTAATTTTACTTTCAGATAACATTGAATTTCCACATTATGTCTCGCGAAATTACAATATTTACAATTAGTCATTTTTTTAATTCTGAAATTTGAGATTTATTTTTAATTAAATTTACGATGAAATTACGCAGACTTGCGCAGCTTTAGTGGATTATTTCGATCAGAGAAAGTGGCAGGATCGAGCAACGATCCCGCATCCTATGGAGTTCCCGATGTTATTCGGTAGTCGAGGTATGAGCTGCAGCGAAAGAATCATTAGTGATCGTGCACAACGAAATTATACCGTCATCAGCGCAGATGAGACGAGAGATCACGACATTCGACGAGAGCGCGAGACTGTCAATCTGAAGATTAATCGGAATAAGAATTCATTTGTTGATTCGAGCACGCACGAATCTGAGAAAAAAAATTAAGGAAAATCTGCAGTTGGTATCGCCGTTAATAATTAAGCAGAAATTTGTTTAAATATTCAAACATTTTATTTGTTAAGTAATTAAGTTGTCGCGATAATTTACGCAAATATAATTTCTAGAATATATTTCTCATTCTTAGATTTTGCTTTTTCTCTTTTCTTTTCTTATTATACCATCCAAAAATCAGTTCGCAATATCACATAATAAATAATTTTGAATGTTGCAACGTAATATGTTACTCCGCGTACATAATTCTATCGTAAATTTATTCTCAACTAACAGTTTTGATTGACAAAACGCTTGAAAAAACGTCATAAATTGAAAGATCTTTTTGAAATATGATGACATCCACCAAACGCCGCTGCGTTTGGAGTACACAACTTTCGCTAAAAATGTTCGGCGAATGATATAGTTTGTAAATAGACAAAGGCTGAAAAAGCCGAGTTTGGTGCGATTTATCAAAGCGCTCGTAACTACGGCGGTATACCTCAAACGGTATAAACGAATGCCGACGACCTTCTGATTCGTGTCTAAGGACTACCTAGCGGCAGGCAGCAATATAATCAAGAATACCCCTATAAACGCCTCTCTAGTGTTATGCAGGCTGCGTAGGAGTCGTTCGAGGTAAAAATTTTTATGATACGCCACCGTGCAGCGGACAGAACGGACATAAATCCACCTTCGAAATCTCTCAATTTTCCTCTTCGAGTTGTACGCCCGGAAAAAACCGAGACAAGATGAGTATCATAACTTCGCAGGGTGTGTTACATTGATGATCAACAGGTAAAAAGAAAACATCTTTGTTGTGGAAAGTAGTAGAGATATAGTAAGATATAGTAACAGTTTTAAATGTTTTAGCAAAAGTCACGATTTTTTTTATACCATTGGAACTCGCATCTGCCATTACAAAGTTATCAACTTCAAATTCGAAAGAACTACCATCTTTTTTTTTATGTATAGCTATATACAGCTCTCTAATATATAGCTCATATTCAATATGTTGAAAGTTATGGCCTAAAAAATTGTTTACGTTTACGTTATTTTTTTACGACTGTCAGATGGGTAGTTCTTCGAAATCTAAATACGATACTTTCGTTTTCGACTCCGTACTTTTGGAAAGATTTTGCGCGGTTGGCGTCACCGCGCAGTTTACGGCTCGAGGACCGACGGCATTTCTGGCAAATAATCACTGATGCAGTCAGGCTGAAAATTGTAATTACCTTCGACAACCTCGGACCGCCTTCGATAAAGATGGCTCCGGCCTCCCAGCCTCCGATGTCGCGCGGCACTAGGACGATCGCGAGTACGTACTCTCGGCACGAAATTGCTAGCACAAATAACCGATAGGGTTACGGCCGTCTTCGCGTCCGGCGATTGCTGTCCGAACTCCGAAACCGTGCGCAATGGCAAACAAGAGAACGGTCCTGCTCAAATATCTACTCGCGATGCGTCGTGCGACCGGTCGAACGGCGTTCTGTTGATTTTTGTCATTTGACTCCAGACAACCAACATATCTTCCCGATCGTTTCGTTTATGATAGACGAGAAACTCCATTTTCATAATCGACAAATATTGAAATTACTGCAAGACCTCAGTTTCACGGGCGGGCCTCCTTTCTAAGATTGAGAAACGATACATTTCGCGAGACTTTAAGTAAATTATTGAGATTTTTGCAAAATTTTCGATATTTTGTGTGTATGTAAATTTTAAAAACAAGTTATTATAACGCGGAGTATACAATCACTTTTCATTTTTAAACAAATTGTTTGTCGATAGTAACTATATGATAAAAAAAAAGTTAATTAATAATTGACCTTAATTCTACTCCACTGTTTGCTGTAGAGATTTAATGTTATATCGTATTAAATATAAATTTAAATAGAAAAAAGAAATTTACTCAATTAGTAATTAGAGATCATTGATAGAGAAATATGTGTGATAATTATGGCACGAGAGCTCTCTGTGCCAAAGATCCAGGTTTAAATCCACCCAGAACACATCAGATTGTTTTTCATCACCATCTCTCGCAAGCCAAATGCAGATCACCGGAACTATTCCTGCCAAGACAGTCACCATGAAAATGTACACAAATGCATGGAGCAGCAAGATTGTCACGGACAATTCGTGCGCTCCCGAGTAATTGTATAAAATAGACACCACGATCTTTAGTTAAAAAGAGAGAGAGAGAGAGAGAGAGAGAGAAATAAAGAAATTTGATTTCTGAAGTTTTTTTTTTAGTAGATATGCCGAGGCCCGTTATGCCTCGTCAACGAGAGCAACACTTCTCTTTCACGAGGAACAAATACGCGTCGCATACTTTCCTGAGCGCAACAGACGCAAATATTAACTTGTAGAGGTGACATGTCGTTTTGTCGCGACTTGACGACCCGGTATCGCGACCGCGCGACACTTCACGAAGAGAAGCACTTCTTTGCGAAGACCTTGATAAGACGGTTTTTTCCCCATCGGCCGCGCGACGTTGTATACTTTTAATCGATCAAGACGAATTCGCGACCAATCGATATTAATCAAAGGGACGATTACGGCGACGATTCGGTTCACCACGTGCGGATCCGCGTACGTTATCCGCAAGGACTAATCGAGAACCCGGTGACCGACGATGTGGGCGGACTGACGAACGACGTGTTTGGTATCGAACCCACCAACCGTGGTGGATTTGTAAAGACGACTCACTCGTCCATTGGTGGAGGCAAGACACCGAAGGCGGCACCCAGCGTCCCGACGACGGGACGACCGGTCAAAACGACCTCAGCCAATGGACACCGCAGTGGTACCGCCATGCTGCACCCGTGAGTTCCTAATTTAGCGAGTAATTAGCACCCGGCAAGCGCGAACGCGGCTCGGAGCTCGGTGCCTCTCTCGACGGCCGCGTACCCACCGAGGAAAACGGAGAAAGAGAAGAACGTGAAGCGAGAACAGAGAGGCAGATATACCGCCGGTCAGTCTTCGGCAAGTCTTCGCCGGCTAGTGTGAAATATCGCGCCCAAGTGTTACGAGCCTACGGCCACGCGGCGCGACTTCTCGCGACGCGGCCTATCCTCCACCGCCGACGGAGACGTCTGGTGCCACGACGAACGACGCTTTTCCGTCCCCCTCCGCTGCCCTCTGCGAAATCGCATCCGTTTTTCTCGCGGGACTGAATTTGGAATCCGCAAATCGATCAACGGCGAAAGCAATCTAAGCTTTCATCCCCCTCCCCTGTTGTGAGTTTGTCTGGAAAATATAACGCGTCGCATGTGATTTCTGTTTTTGTTTTCTTGTATATGCAACAGTTTACATCGTTATCCTCGATAAGAAGTCGGAATCTGGTTGAATTTCCAATTCGAGAACATATCGGAAGGGGTAAAAGAATCGAGATATACGTGACGTTTTGGAGAACGCTGAAGATGCAACCGGCGGGCGCGCCGCGAACGCCGGGTTCTCCAACACGCTCTTCATGTCATGAACGTGATCGGGAGCGCGAACGGGAACGCGAGCAGGAGCGAGATCGCGAGCGAGATCGCGGCGGAAGGCAGAGTCGGACGAGTCCTGTGGAGGATCGGGAGGATCGCGAAGAGCGGGGTTCGATCGCGAGGCAGAGTCTCGGGCCTCCTGCCGCGATCTCGGGGAGTCAAGGATTGCCGTTGTCTTTGTCGCTGGAAGACCGGGAGCTCTGGACCAGATTCCAGTGCATCACGAACGAGATGATCGTCACGAAAAATGGAAGGTACATGGCGAACAGATTAATTGAAAGATTAATAACAAATTTTATCTTGAAGGAAGTATTAATTCTCTATCGTTACTATTCGTGCACTGTACGATCGGAAAATGCCGCGAGAGAACGATGTCACGATTTTTTGTGCGCTCCGAAACTCATAAAAATGAAATAGCGTAAATTTTCTAGTGACGATAGACGTCCGATATCCGATAGAAGTATTTGTTTACCGGGAACAAAAATATCATTAGCTAGAATCTAAAAGAAAAACCGGAAATTTACTAGTTAAGATTTTAAATACCTTTTAATACCTTTCTCATTCTTATAACAAGAAAATATTATCGTGAGCTAAAATGAGAAACTAGCTATTTCAATCTAGCAAACTTTTCATCATTTTATTTTAATTTTAAAAGAATAGTAATTATTTTACTTAATATTTTTCACATTACAACATAACTGTTGTTCTCCGATGAAATCTCTCATACATTTTTTGATAACAAATCAATATGTTACTAGCAAAGTTTGTACAGTATATGAAATATCAAAGCCGCAACGCATAAAAATAAATAATAAATTTTAACTTTTCATTATTTCTTTCTTCTTTTCTTTTAAGACGATTCGTCTGACCGAAAACTTGATCGTAATAATTGAGATGAGAACATTCGACAGGAAAAATCCAACGGTTATAGAAACGAGAAAAATATCATATCTAGATACTCACGTATTTATTAAAAAATATTTGTAAAGAAATAGACAATATCGATTAGATAAAGTGTAAACTTAGGATTCCAAAAATGAATGATAAAGACTCGATCTGTGGAAAGACGGAGTTCCCCGGGATTATTGTGGAAAGATTCAGCCGTCGGCAATAAAACTTTACGATGCTTACAATCCTCTTGTAAAACGTTCTCCTGTCGAGCTGATGCCTGCGAGCAAGCACTTTACCTGCACATCCGCAGTCGACAAACCGTAATCGTTTTTATTAATACGCGCCTCATAAATGTATAGTCGCGCCGAGGAGACACACTGTGTCCAAGTCCGCGGCGGTTGTGTCTTTTGATCCACGCCTTTGGATCCCACCGTCGACATCGATCTCTCGCGCGCATCTCGCGCGATCCCGGAGCTTTACGATCGGGGCGTCTTGCACGTTCCTGACATGTCACTTTCGTCCGCAGGAGGATGTTTCCCGTAGTGAAGATCGTTGCACGTGGTTTGGAACCGGCGGCTATGTATACTCTGCTACTGGAATTCATGCAAGTCGATCCTCACAGGTAATATGCAGTTTTACATATATTCGGTAAACGTATCCTTAACTCTCAAAAGTATCTCAATGACTACTTTCCGTGTGCTTCAGCAAAAAATTGTTTAATTTCTTTCATTTCTCTTTTTTTTATTATGTATCAAGCATCAAGAGTTTTTAGGAAATACATCAAGATTTCAAGAGATTATAAAAATTTCATTTTAAATTATAGTTTCATTTAAACTGATACTTTAACTTTTGGACAACAAGAAGTAGTACGGTAAATGGCACAAAGGGTGGCACGGTGGATGGCAAAATAGTCGTACGCCCAATGTACACTGGGTCAATTTTTCATCCACAAACTCTATCTTTTGTCCCAGAGCAGACTTTTACACACTGTATTTTTATTTCAACCACATTTTTCAAGTGTTTTCATTAAAAAAAAATAGTGCTGAAATAATAGAATAACTAAAGTAGAAGAAAATTTACTTACGAAATACGATATTTATTCTAATTTTGTACAATGCATACGTAAAGAATATATGTTTCAAATATTACATGAGCGTTGAAAATAGATGTAAATAATCATTTCATATTATTTAAATATTTATCAGTTCTATAGTTTAAATCTTGACTGGCCCGGCATTTATCCTGCCCGGCATTTATTCGACACTTACCCCGGTTGAGGGGGTTAAACGATCTTTTAATTAATTAGCGGAAATAGTGCAAATTGCAAAGTTATACTGAGCAGAGTAGAAAGCGCGCAGCATCGAAATATTGCGTAGGTAGTACGCGGATGAGCGCGTTACCGATTTGCATTGATTTATCTCGCGAGCAGAAGGAACGGGGGGCGCGAAGGACACTAACAGGTCGTAATTACCGTACCCCTTTCGTTCAAGCATCACGTAACGTCGCTAAAGTCGATTCTAAACTTGTTAGTACGTTATTTTTAACTCGCCGGCGATTCGTCATCGGTGTTGAACGAACCGTGAGGCATTCGCGAGCGTCATAATAGCTTTCGCAAAACAATCTCGGAAGATGATCGAAAAAGAATGCGAAAAACAATTCCTGTTGATCCTACCAATAACGTAAATTCTCTTTGCCGAATCAACTTATAAGACTTTTTGTTGTTGTCAAGTCTCGACTCTTTTTCCGCAAGAATACAAGTAACCCAAGTCTTTTATTAAGGAAAGAAAGATCTTTTATTAAAGAAGAAAGAGAAGGGCATCTAATAGATATCTTGATTTTTTTCATTATATGTTTACATAAATTATCTGAATTTATCTGTTTTAATCGAGATATAAAATTTGTTCTATCTGATCAAATCAAGGTGGAAATATGTCAACGGTGAATGGGTACCAGGTGGAAAAGCGGAAGTGGCCCCGCCTAATCCGATTTACATACATCCGGAGAGTCCGAATTTCGGAGCCCATTGGATGAAGGAGGCGGTATCATTCGCTAAGGTCAAATTAACGAATAAGTCGAACGGTAATGGGCAGATTATGCTGAACTCGTTACACAAGTACGAGCCACGTGTTCATTTAGTCCGAGTGGGTGCCGAAGAACAGAGAACGGTAGGCTTTCTTCTTTCTTTCTTATTTTTTTTGTACGTTTTTTCATTGTACGTTTTTGAATTATCTGTATCATTATATTTTTAATACAATAGTTCTCTCAATTATTTTATTTTATCGCCACAATTAAATTCTACCGTTAATGTAGGTTCTCACATATCGTTTTCCCGAAACGCAATTCATCGCGGTGACAGCGTATCAGAACGAGGAAGTAACGAGCCTGAAGATCAAATATAACCCATTCGCAAAGGCGTTCCTCGATGCCAAAGAGAGGCCCGCCGATTCGCAGACTTATCCGCAATGTGAGTTGGCGCGATAAATAATGCAAATATACGAATGGAAAGACTATTGGGAAATTGGCAATCAAAACCGGGACTCCGTCAAATATTTCCTAATAATACAAATAACATTTTACAGATGCAAGCGCATTGTTTTTACCGCAACCTACAATGGGATACGAATACAATACTGCATCGGCGATAGCCGCCGCGCAAAATCAAGTATCGGCTTGTGTTAGCAATCACTTTTCTAATTCGTGCCCCGTCACCACGTCTGGGCATAGAAGCACCTGCAGAGCAGCGCCTTACACCTTGAGGCACAAATATGTTCAAGATGGTAGGTAAAATTCTTTTACAATTGGAATCTTAATTAAATTTTTGTCAAAACGTGTCAATATAAACGTAAGAAATATATATATATATATATATATATATATATCTTTCTGGAATATAAAAAAATTGAACCTTGTAAAAAAAGTATAATTATTTTTTTTTATACCTACACAGAACAGCATGCGGACGCGTACGCACCGATGCCGCTTTTGCATTCCACGGCTTACGTGACGGCTCCGGCCTGGTCGCCGCGGAGTCCGGAATCGCTGCAGAATCTCAACTCCGCGTGCTTACCGCCCGCCGCGTCGCAGGAGTGGCCGACGTCGCCGTCGTCGTCGCCAACGTCGTCGCACCCGGTCCTCGGTAGAACGGTGGTCGGTACCGTCTCCACCACCACCGTAACCGGTTGCACTCTGTACGTGCCGTCGAACTTACCGTCTCAAGAGCAGCACGGCGGACAATGCACTGACTCGTCCTGGATACATTCCAGCACGCTGGAACAACAGCAGCAGCAACAGCAGCAGCAGCAGCAGCAGCAGCAGCAATCTTATTTGAATTTAAATCTCCACTTGCATCATCAGTCTCCATACGGTTCTGTTTCACACGTCGGGTTACATCATACGGGTTTGCATCCGCAAAGTGGCGAGCCCGTTCCTCCGGCGGACGAATACGTTCACGAGTATCATCACGCCTCGCCGGTACAATCGACCACTCCCGATCAGCATCGTCATCAGCAGCAGCATCATTCCCAAACGCAGATGTTGCACTTGCAGGCACTGCCGCAAACAGAAACGTCTTCGCCGGTCAGCGTAGAGTACGACAGTCCACCTAAGGAGCATCCCCACATCCAGATGGGCTACCCTGAACAAACCGCAGATGCTCTGAACGAGGTGCAACCGGATGACGAGAGACGATACCTGACGACGGTCGTCGACCGCCATCCTCATCATCATCATCCACATCATCATCACAATCATCATCGACAGGACACCGAGATCGCCGGCGAGCAGCCGAACGCTTGGACACCGTTGACACCACCGCCGGCACCGCAAACCACCGCCATTTGACTCGGATTTATACGCTGGGAACTATGCATAAGCATTACGCATACGCGAAAACGCACGTCCGAGCTCACTGTCGCGTGTAAAATCGTTAACGCGAGGAACCCAGATAACACATAAAAGAATTCATTCGTATATTCAGTCGTATGTAAATTCTGAGTTCATTTTCAGGTGCAAAAAGAATTCTTTTTTAGAATTTTTAGGAAAAGAATTCTTTTTCTTTGCATCTGAAAATAAATTTAGAACTATGACATATGACATATATAGAATCTATGACATATGACTGAGTTTTTTTTTAACTCTCTGTGTTATCTGGGAATAGCGTTACAGCGATTGATTTGATGATACGACATCAGATCGATGCTAAATATATTACAAATAAGAACTAAAATGAGAAAACGCCAACACGGTTAAAGCGGATCTTGGTGCTTAATAATATTTTTATATGTAAATGTTGCAATTTTCAGTTCAAGCAAGTTGCACGCTGAATAATCGATCTTAAAACATGTCGTTCTAAACTGAATAATACATAACATCACAATTAAATTGACAAAACAATTTAACAATTTAATGTTAATGAACATCATTTAAATTCTGTAAAATAACTGCAAGAAATATTACTTCAATCATTTGAACCTGGATCTCCCTACTCTTCGAGCGGATGTCTTATCGTTCAACTATCGAGGCATGTAGTAATATATTAAACGCGTCGATTAATCAAGAAAATTTTTTCGCGCACGATAGATATACTAAAATGTGGAACTGTGTAACGATCCGTCCTAAATAATGTAGTGTTTCGATTATTCTTAATCAATCGCGAATATTAATAGCTATGTCAAGTATGTCATAAAAAAAATAAAATGCAGATAAAATATTCTTTTTTTAAATACCTTGTCTTATCCATATCACAAGTAATATTTTAATATTATAAATGCGACATATACGTAAAGCAAAATTATTTCAAAAGTAATTGAATCCAATTACTTATAATTTAATTACTTGCTCAATTCCAGTCTGCGTTAGGATCTCCTTTGTCTTTACTATTGCGTCCTGAATAGATCGATCCTTATCTACATAAATCATCTTTGACCTGAAAGGATTCCGACAATGAATCCGTCACTTAATAATTAAGTTCATTTATTTGCTCAGTTCCAGTCTGCGCTGGGATCTTCTTTGTTTCCGCCATCGTGTCCTAAATAAGTCGATCCTTATCCATGTTACCCATGTAAACCTAAAATATGATTCCGGCGATGAATTCGTCAATGCTTAATTATTATTGATTTCTAGCGGTTGTTTATTAGCGAAGATACTTATTAATAAAAAACATCATTTATAATGTCTTTTTAATTTTTAGTATCTTTTAATCAAGTTTCTCCGATCTCGCAGTAATAAAGTTTCTAAGTAAAATATTTTATTAAAATAAATTTCATCTGTGCAATTAACTGTAGAATATAATTTTGTTATTCATTTATATATAATTTGCGAAAAATTCGCTAAAGATTTTTCGTTTTTGTATCTTATTTTATAATTTATAATTTATTTCATTTAATTAATTATAACGTATAAAGAATTAGTGTCTCGATATTTTCTCCAAAATATTGATTTTTTTTATATCTGCCAAAAAATCTATAATTAAAAAATAATAAGTGGAACATCTTATGCATTATTGATCTCATTGTTATTCCTTTCTTATTGGCAGCAGGTAAGAATATCAAAGGATACACAAATGATGCATCTTTGTAAGATAAATTTTTAAAAGTCCTAAATTTTCGACAGAAAGTAATATGCAACAAACATATGTTATCGTTATGCGATAAGAAAATTTCTCTTAAATATTTTCTCTTAAATATTTTAACTGCATTTTGTATTATGCATTATGTGCATGTAATTTAAACTCTGAATCCATGTTTATAGTCATTACATAAATCTCATCAATAAGTAAAATATAAGATAGAATGAAATATAAACTATGAATCAAATATAAAAATGTGTGTGTGTGTGTGTGTGTGATTTGGTGAAGCATTTAACATTACAAAAAAATAAAAAATTATGTGCTATTTATTCATTTATAATCCCTTCTGATTGTGAGTTCAAGGTATTCGCATGAACATCCTGGTCCACATCAAACTGTGATCAGCGGTAGCTATATGTCGTGACCTCCTGCAAAACCATCTGACGCCAATAATTCGAAGAAAAGTTTAAATCTTCTCACAACTCACACGTGCAACATTATTGTGTACTCTTTGATGAGAACTTTTTATGCATTTTTCTTATTCAGCTCCTGAGATATTATAAGTCTTTTGGATTATCACCTATTTTTAAGTAGAGAATTATCTGCGGAATCAATAGTTCACGAACAGAGAGATTGTAGAAAAAGTATTGGAAAGCTTTCTCACTTTCAGAGATTAGATTTTGTACAAAAATAATCCGTGTGCTTCCCATTGGCAAAAAATTATGCGTGTGAGGATAACTATTTTAATAAATAGATTAGTTTCAATTTTTACATTTTTTGCATGTTTATTTTCTGTTATAAAGAATTGACAAAACTTTTTTACTTGATAGAATAGAACTGAAAGGTTTCAAATTTCTGCCTCTTCAATCTTTCGCGATTTGACAAATGATGTAGAGTAATATATACTTGTAATACATTTGCTGAACAGCAGTTTAGTAATTATTTGTGTAATATAAACAAGAAGCTTCATGTTTATTTTATTATAAAGGATTTGAAGGTGGGATTTATAAAGAAAAAAAAGTATGATTCAAGAAATAAAACTCATTTCAAAGCCTGAAACCATTTTCTGGGTTTTCCCCATATCACAGATACATTTGGAACGCAGCTTGAGTTCTGACCGTAACTAACTTTTTCTTTCTTTCGTAAGTTTCCCAAAAATTTTCCCCTAATCCTCTCTTCTCCCTTCTCTTGTTTTTAGATCTCCCCTCTATCTGCTCAAAATGCGTTTGCCTCCAGATCTCTAATACTATAATACTAGACCCTTTTCTCCATCTTATTTCTGAATTCTTCCTCCATTTTCTCTTCTATCTCCTTACAATTTCTATTTCTTTCATTCAACTTTCTTCTAATTTACATTTTCTCATACAAAAATTTTTTCATACATCAGCTCTCAGCTTTTACAATTTTCTCATATTTTTTTCATCTGCACTCATTAATAAAATAAAATATAATAATTTAATAATATTTATTTTCTGATTGTTTTGCCGATATTTCCTAGATCATTGCACTCAACAACATTTCTACAATACAACACTCACAAAAATAAAATTTTTGTAATCACGCGTATTAATTATGAAAAATAAGATATTGTATTTTTCACGATACTCTCGTTGTTAATCGTTGTGGATTGCATTTTAAATTAAATATTTTCAAACGTAAATTATATATTCTCGTATAGTGTTTATACATAATTTATTTACTATAGATCAGTTATACTCCAATGAGGGAGTGACTGACTATAAAAATCATATGTAAAACATTTTGTATTTTATCTATTCTTGTATATTGCGAATCAACCGTATCATTAACGAAACACGGTTGCTCGATCGTTTGGAACTAGAACTAGCACATCGTTATTCGAAGTGTTCGCGTCTCAGATAACGTACACGCGGACAAATCCATGTAGCGATAGCACATATCGCATGCATACACGTGCATTGGTGTACACAATCGCGAGCGAAATTGCAAAACGCTTTTCATCCGCTAGCACGTTCGCCTCTAACGATCCATAAGCGCGTTGCGCCTTTATGCCCAATCGTGGGAGGGAATCACTCCCTTGCAAGAAGAAATCGAATGATATGCCTTCTGCATTTCTTTCCTTTATGAGGTAGAAAAATCACATTAACGGAATATAGAATTTTTCAGTTGTTGTAAGAACATGATAAAACATGTGAAGGAGCAATCTAAATGATTAACAATAGTATATATATTCAATCACAATCACGGATCTTGGTGTCTAATAATATTTTTGCGTGAATTTATATACGTATTTTTATACTAATTGCACGCCGATTTGTCAGTCTTAAAATGCAGTCGTAAACTTGAAGTTGAAGTCGTAATATAACGAATTAAATTGACAAGCAATTTAATAATATTGATGCTAATGTTGGGACGCCCGTCACGGAATGTAGGGAGATCCAGGTTCGAATCTTGATTGAACTGATATTTTTCGCAATAAAATTTTTATGGATATTTAAGATGCTCTCCTTATTATTTTTAATCGGTTTCATTATAGTTACTGATTGACTTTATTGTTACTAACGATTTATATATTTTGATTACTGCAATTTCGCAATTGTTACTAATTAATTCTTAACAGTTGATTAATATTTCCGCGGAATATTTTAATAACAAAATTCTTGAAGTGGGGTAAATAAAACAATATGCTTCAATGGAGCAAAAAAATTAATCAAAGAAAATAAATTCTAACATAAAACAAATAATATGTAGGTACATGCTTATATATAAAATCAAAATAAAAAACATTTAGTCCGAACAATTTAAGCTGCCTTTTCCCTCTACTTTGAATGCGATTTTCTATTAAATGATTTGAGCAACAAATTAGCACATAAACAGCATTAAATTTTTTAAATAAATGCAAACTTGATGAGGAATTCTAGTTAGTTAGAATTAAAGAGGTAGAAAAATTCAATAGGAGGAAAAATTCAATCATATTTAGTACAGCGTTCTCGGCAATGTAAATATTTATGTATGTTACTTTCCTATTTTTTTAGCGTCTCGTTTTATATATATACGTAATTGGAAGACGCGAACTATATTTCCGCACTCAATTATCTTCTATTAAATATATATTTAATTTCAGGTAAGAAATGTTCCCTATATACCTATAAGGAAAGCTATTAGCACAGTAATTATGTGTTTGGTTAAATATTTTGATTAAAATTGTTTGATTAAAATTAAAATGAAAAGTATACAAATGATATTTTTTCGTGACAGATCGTAATTCACATTTTCTAATAAAAAAACTTATAAAATTATGTAAGAAGGTTAAAGATTATTTAAACTAATGGTTTTACAAGATTTTAATCTTTTCTCTGATACATAACATGTATGTATAAGACATATATTAATAGGTACATGTTGTCGCGTGTATAAAAATATTTGTAAACTACGTACTATAAAAGTTATTAATTCAAATACCTTAATATATATTTCGAGTTGTTAAACTCCTTTAAAGCAATCTTTTTCAGGAATTATATCTAAGATTATTCCGAAGATTATTCCATAAAAAATCATTCCATCTAGTAAATAAAAATTAAAAAGCATAAAAGTTTAAAATGTGAACAGTTTGAATTTTGTTTCTGTATGTATGCATGCATACAGAAAGAAAATAAGTAATACAGAAATAAAATAGATGGATTACAAATAATAAGTCTAATAAAATAATGTTTTTCAGTACTAAATAATCTTAGATAATTAATATAAAAGTAAATCACATTACATTAAAAAACTTTAAAAAACATAAAAAAATATATAATAGATTTAAACCTAGCCACTAATTTTGCTGCATATCATCACTGATCAAAACTAAAATACCGTTTTTTCTTTAATAATTATACTTCATTGTAATTTATTGCAATTACTTCGGTTATCTTTCTTCGCAATTATTTTCACTCGCAGTGATAAGGAAAACTTTTGTAGATATTTTATGTAGACAAAGTTGTAAATTCAAATCGTACACTCAGGTCGAAAGAATTTTTGCTATTATAATTAAAAGCGACAAAACACTTTGAGCGCGAATAAAGCAAAATAAGTAACACTCTGTTAGATATATCAACAAAAATGCATATAGTGTGTTTTTTAATATAAAAGATTATAATTATTATTTTTTATCATCTTGTTTTTTAACAGATATGTCATATAACATATGAAAAATGTTTTAAAATCAAAATGCAATCTATCAAATATATAACATATATAAATACTAAAAATATTCTTTAAAAATAACTCTTAGATAACAGAAGTAGCAATATATCAAATCTTCACAATAAATGTCATATACGCGTAGTTTTGTTCTTAACTTACATACTTTATGCAGAAAGTTCAAACTATCAGTCTTTATATTTGCTTTCATATTAAAAAAAAAAATAAATATTACGGAATCGCTCAATATAAATTGTAAAACTTAAAATATAATAGACTTCAACCCTTTATCTATGTCTTTCGTCGATCGGGCTGTAATATTGTATATTTTTACATTTTCTTTTGAACTGAAGGAATTTGATAATCTAACATTGTTTCGCAAAATTTTTCGCGATGCACGTTTCATCGCTGTTCTTCTACTTTCATTACTAACATTTTCCATATTCGTTAATGGTGCTCGATTATTTTCCATCTTATAAAAGGAATTCTTTTGCCACTTATGAAGAAAATATTTCTTTATAGGTAATAATCCAAGTTCATTATTATTTCGCGTTTCCGAAATTTCCATATCACTTTTTATTATAGTGTCTTCCTGTTCGACTTCATCAGACTCAGAAATACTTTGATTTTGTCCTTTCGTATACTTCCTCTTTTCGTTATGAGTTTTTTCTTTGTGATCGTAGAAGTCACTTTTGGTACAAAATGTAGTGCCTGAAAAAGTAATTTTGTAAAATAAAAACATATTACACATCAATATAAGGATATGTTTTAAAAAAGATTTAAAATATGTATAAAAAACAGAAAATTATCTCTTAATATGAAGTGTGTGTTGTGTATTCTATTCAGGGTGTCTCACTGTCAAAATTAATACAGCGGATTTAGCACATGAAAACAAGTCCAAAATGTCTAATAAATAGAGTTTGGACCCATCACGGGGAGTACAAGTAAGTCGGATGTTTGCTGAAATAGAGTAGCAATTCTCGTTTGACGGAAGACTTGCACTTTTTTATATGATTTCGTATTACTACAAATTTTTTCTTTGTGATTTTTTTTAGCTCGAATAACAAATATAGTCTACCAGAATGAAATTCAAGATTCAGAGTAATTGGCAACTGATATTTAATAATACCGAGTTCGCGAACCGAACCAAATATTTTTCAAAAAGCTCGAAACAATTTATGCTAGAAGGTATATCGAAATCGATGGAGTAATATTTGAGCATCTTTTAAAGAATTAAACAGAATAAAGAACATTAAATAACATTTACTTCAAATCATGTTTTCTGGATATTGGAAAATAATTCCAATATTATGTAATTCTGAAACCATTAAAAAACGGATATGTTTATTAAGCATTTTCGACTTGTTTGCATAAACAAGTACTAGAGCCAGTGCTATGGCCATTTTTTTTAATTCAGGGACACTGTACGTATATGTATACATATGTAACAAAAATACAGGATCTAAGTTTCCAAGATACTTGACTTCATTAATAATACGTATAAGTTAAATATAATTGAATATGTACTTTATACATATATATATATATATATATATATACATGAGTACTTATTACTTTAATAAAACATATATAAGGATTTCATGCAAAATAATTATTTATTATATGTTATTTTAGTCACATCTTGTTTTTAGTTACAATTTTAAATACGTTATATTGAAATAAATCAAGCTATCGGGAGAGATTTCTACCAAAACCGTCAAGATATGTAAATGGAGCAACGAGATGTCATGATGGATAATTCACGCTCCTCGAGTTGCGTAAAATAGATTACAAACTTGAAGACTCGACTTTGAAAGAGAGAGAGGGAAAAAGACATACCAATAAATAATTATTAAATATTTACCACAGCATGTCTTTCCCGGATATATATTTTCATGAAAGCGCCGGAAATGACGCTCCGTGTTATACCTTCTTTTAGACATTTCGCCACATTTGATACATTTATACAATTTTGTGCCTTCCACAACAAGTATGATAATTTTGTTAGACATCTGTAAAATATAATTATTTGTACTGTAACTTGAATCAATACTGTAATTTGAATCAATAATAATCAATTAAGGTATAATATATAACTCTTTAATTTAAAACAATAATCAGCAAATATTAAATCAGCCAGTAAGAATCTAATACGCAGAATTTGGTGCGTAAAAATTTTTTTTCAACATGTATTAAATATACTAATTACATATTCATAGAAAATTTCTTTACAATCGAAATTATTGCCTGATTTCATATTTGTTTTTTTGTTGTTTTATAATCAATGTTGACAATAATACAGAAAAATCTATATAATTTTACTCCGATCTTTTTTGCATTAAATAAATACAAATCTGTCTCTGCAGATTTGGAGCAGAACCTGCTACCACATTTCACACTTGACACTTCACAGTACAGCATTGGCAGAATAAACCGAATAAGAGATGCAAGTTCTGCACGGTTTTTTACTATCATTCTGGGTTTACTATCATTCTGGTTACTATCATTCTGCTTGTAAATATATGTCAGCAGACTTTGTTATATTTCTGTTAGCAATTTGCTGACAATGCTGATATTATCAGACATTATAGATTCTGTATGAATAAATTTGTTGCCTTTCTGCCATCAAAAATTGGTAGCAGGTTCTGCTCCAACTCTGTCTCTGCAGATTTGGAGCAGAACCTGCTACTTCACACTTCACACTTGACACATCACAGTATAGCATTGGCAGCATAAACCGAATAAGAAATGCAAGTTCTGCTCAGCTTTTACCACCAATCTGCTGGTAAATATATATCAGCAGACTTTCTGTTATATTTCTGTTAGCAATTTGCTGATAATGGTGACATTGTCAGGCATTATAGACTCTGTATGAATAAATTTGTTACCTTCTGCCATCAAAAATTGGTTGCCAACAAAAGCAGAAAGGCAACAAATTTGGTTTATATCTGGGGATGATTTATGTGCCCTTGGTACATGATTTATAACCTTGAATGGCAAGACAAAAAATGAACAGAATTTGTTTTTAAAACTTATTATGTTATTATTGTAGATTTCTGTGTCTTCCAATGAGTGCACGCAACAATGCAACTCATAAAATTTGGAGTATAATTGCATGGAAATGAAAAAACAATAATTCAACTAGAAGAGTTAATAATTCTTAGTTACAAATTTAAATGTTAACTGAACGTGACACACATATGATTCGCTCGATTGCAAAATTAGAATAAATTAAACAAGAATAAACGTTCCAAAATCTAATTCACAAATAAGTTATATATAATCTCATAAGTTTTATATTTATATTAAATGGAAATTTTATATAATTATGTAAATACACCAAATGCAAACTGTAATTCATTTTTCATTCTAGATTTTTGATACAAGTACTATAACACAAATAATAATTTATCATCCCAGTATCCCACATATATATACCCCACGTTTGACGCTAATATATAATATCACAATCACAGTTGCCATCTAAGGAGTATTGTGCCAGGCATATATTAGTGATTAGTGTTCTGTCGGAAGGTTATCAATTTAAAAAAAAAGGTTATTGAAATTGACTCTTCTGCAGGAGAAGAAAAATCATCGTGCTTTCCCAAAAAGAAGGTCATCACTCGCTCGGAGATTTTTTTTCGTGTGCCGGAGTAGTCAGCAGTTCGTGTGAAAACCGGAGAAGTGACAACGGAGATGGTGATCGAAACGTACACTTACAATTAGTGTGAAATATTCGTGTGCCGGAGAGCCGGAGTCTTCGGGCGAAAACCGGAAAGGTGACAACGGAAATAACCGAAACGTATACACTTACAATTAGGGCAAAATATTTAGTACGAATTCTTAATATGGTTACATACGCGTATGAAATACAATCAGAAATCGAACCCCGAATCTTTTTTTCGATAGATAATTACTCTAACATTGAGCTATTTAACAATCCATTGAGAAAATTTGCAAAATTGTTATTGTCATTTCTCTATTGGCGATTCCTCCAGTTTTCAACGATGCTCTGGTCGTATTCCGATATATGTATACTCTCTAATACTAAGTACTATACTAGTATTATACTGCATACTGTATACTGCGGATACTGCTTAGTACTAAATATTATATAACACTATACTAATACTAAAAATTCATAGTATACATAATGCGAACTATAGATTTTCAGACTTTACTGACACTGTATATCGGAACACGACCTCTGTTGCTTCGGAAACAGCAATTTGCTCTTCTCTCACTCTTGACAAAATTGTAGATACTCACTTTATGCCGTAGAAAGACTCGGAATCAAATACGTAATTCGTAATGCGTAATGCGTAGAAGGCAACGATGTCACTACGTCGATGCTGTCTGCTGGAGTGCGACGACAAAGCAAAGATACTGGGAAGGAATTATTCCTTATAACGTCGATTGACGTCCTGCGTTGGTGCCGTCCTGAATTCCTGATTGGTGCGGTACGGCGCTTTGTAGTTCGGTATTCGGCCTCTTTGATATGCGCTCTGACACACTCGATCACACAAGCCGCGAAAAAAAAACAGCGACTGAAGTAAGCGACATCTATACTTTCCTATTGGATCAAGTTTTTCATGCGGCTCCTTCGTGATATATTATTAGCATGGAGTAGATGGCTGCGTTCGATGCGCTTACAACGTTTATAAGTATTCATTTATCCTTGTTTAATATTTGATAAACAACAAGGATTGCGTAGAGCTCTAAAAGTCGTGCACGACAAAAGGAAAAAGACGGAATCGACAATTGCTATATTCGCACGTCGCATATACATGCATATGCCTGCGTTTTGGACACGTCAATAGGAAACAGATTAACGATTGGTGGGGATCCACGGTCGTCGGAAAACACT